GATTTTGTTCCTTCGAAAAGAGCAGCAGCGAGTGTCTAGGAGACTTGAAAGGTGTGTAAACATTCACTCTTCTCCTGTCTATTTCTTTGGATCAATAGATGAATAAGAGATGTTAAATGTACATGTTATTGGCTGAGAGTCTTTAAGGTTTCTGTCTCGCCTTTGAAACATCTTACTGCATATGATTCTGATGTGTGCTCTACTTATGTGTATTTCGTCTGCAAGATCATCAAACTTATTTAAAGCAGTCGCTTATTCAAGAGCGTCCTGACTTTCTTAATTGTTCTCACAATGTTATTTCAAAAGGTTTTTGGATGGCAAACTAGATGTGCAGCCCAGGGAACGAACAGTACATACAGGTGCTTCTTCCTCTGGTGAAGTTTCAGATTCAGGGAGAAAAACACTTGGAACTGCTAGAAGTGACGAAAAGAATAAAGTTGAACCAATTTTGGATAATTTGTCTACAAAAATTGATCAAGCTGTGCAAAGATGCATACAGAGTGGGGAATTCCCTTCTAATGTGAAGATACCCAAAGCTTCAGTGAAGAAGGTTTTTTGTGCTAAAAGGAAGAAACTTGCTGAAGGACCAGAACAACTCTTATATACCAGTAATATTGCATTCCCAATAGCCGCTGCATTTAAACGCGACCAGAGATCTGAGAAAGGGGAGATACATAATGCAGAAGAAAACAGATTATCACCTGAAACTATTTCTGAAATGCTGTTAAGTGCGATGAGTAAAGTGGGGGAAATTCCTGATGTGTCGATAAAGGTCTGCAAGGGTCATATCAATTTTCTTTCAGCTTCCAAAGATTCTTTCTCTGACAGAGGCGTTGTTCTTAATGATAACATCTCGAGAGGAGCCAATTCAACAGGTGACGGTGAAATCCTTCAAGCCAAGAAGGATTTAGAAAACCATAAGGCAAGAAAGCTAAAGCTGGAGATGCGTTTGAAAAGGTCCAGTTTTGATCCTGAAGAACATGAGCTATACAAACGGTATCAGCTGAAAGTGCACAACGATAAGCCGGGGCACGTAGTAGAAAGTTCATACAGAAGGTTTTTGGTCGACTCTCCTTTAATATATGTTCAGCCTTCAGGTGATGAAAAGGTTCCGCCTTGTGGCTTCGGATCTTTCCACCAGCAATATAGAGTTGATGGCCGTCTAATTGCTGTTGGGGTTGTAGATATTCTTCCTAAATGTTTGTCAAGTGTGTACCTATTCTGGGATCCAGACTATGCATTCTTATCGCTTGGGAAATATTCTGCCTTGCAAGAAATTAACTGGGTAAGAGAAAACCAAGTTCATTGCCCTACTCTTCAGTATTACTATCTTGGCTATTATATACATTCCTGCAGCAAGATGAGATATAAAGCAGCCTATCGTCCATCTGAGCTTCTATGCCCTCTCCGTTTCCGGTAAGTTATCACCAAACTCATATTGAAGAAAGGTGTGGTCTGATACTTGTAAATTGATATTTATGTCCTCTCCTTAGACATTTTCATGGAAGTGAGGCGACTGGTGAATTAATTTTTTTTTGAAGACTCGGAGTTGTGTTTTCAGGTGGGTTCCATTTGAAGTAGCGAGGCCGCTGCTTGATAAAAAGCCATATGTCATCTTGTCCGATATCACCAATTCACAAAACCAATGTTCTTTACTACCTCATGCTTCCGAAACTCTCGGGGAACCTACGACAAATGAACATGAAGGCATGGAACAAGGGGAGACGAATGATCATTTTATGGGAGGCAGTGATGATGAGGATGAAGATGATGATGATGATGATGATGATGATGATGATGAAATGAATGAAGTTGACTCAGACCCTGGATCCGAAGATATCGACATTAACAATATCCTAATCGGTCTTTATGGATCCCAATATAGATACAAGGTATATCAAACACCTTTTAGTTTTAGATCACTATTTAAGCTAATTGGGTGTGATAAGTGTTTACCAATATCATCAAACTCACGTGTTGACAACAAAACAAAAAATTGGATTTGGAAGGATCTACGGCAAATCCTGACTCCTGTAGGCCGGAAGCAACTGGAACCGATGTTACAAAGGTACCGGAAGGTCGTGGGCAACGAGCTTTCAGAGAGAATGGTGTATGAAATCAGGTAAAAGCTTAAATTAACTCCATTAAGCTTACTTACCATCAGATAAACTCAAAAATTGTTTGAAATAACAAAGATGAGTACTCTATCTCTCATGTTTCAGTTGTTGTATGTAATGAGACTTTTAACATGCCGTCTGTCTCTCTTTAAGGTTGTTACAGGTGTTTGTTATATACTCACAAGTCACAATTACCTTTTTCTGTGAAAGAAGTTCAAAATTAACTTATGCTGATTTAGTAATTTTATCAATCTTTGGTGTATGTGGAAATTTCTTAATTTTGGTGTTTTTCATATTTAAAAATATAAAGAGAAGTTTTTCACTCAGAAATTTATATAAAGTATAAATTTTTGCATCGTCGTGGTATCATATAAAATTATCCAATATCCAACTATCAGCTTTATATATTCGTGTCCAAAAAAAACTATCAGCATATATATTGAAATACTATGAAAAAAGGGAATAATCCCTAATAAATATGTAAGAAATGGATGGGGGGAGAGAAGCGCACGTGGGGAGGTCTGACATTGAAAGCGAAAGCAAAGGCCCACACGTGTGGAAAGAGGCAGATTTCAGACTTCGGGAAGTGTAAGATGAAGAAAGGAAAGAATAAAGTTTTTTTTCATTTTTTTTTTCACATTTTTAAAGAATTTGCAGAGCTTTTTTTACCGTATCTCTCACACGTGTGGCTTCTTCTTTCTCCTCGTCTTCTGTGAACTGTTTTGACCCTTTTGACCGCTACTTCCTCTACAGTTTCTTTTCTACTTCATTCCTTATCTTATATACGATAATACAGTATATTCGTTTTTTTTTTATTAATATCCGTTCTTTTCGTTCCTTTTTCCGGCAAATATCAAAATCAATGTCTAAATCTTGAGTGAGAATTATGGTTCATAAGTAAAAAGGATTTTCGGAGTTTGTTAATATTCATTCATATGATGACAGTTATTTTTAGTTATTAAAATACGAATATATATTAACAAAATTGTACAAAATAGGCTTACTTTTGAATGGACTAATTAAAACTCATCTCTTTCCAGTTTGTTAAAAAGTCTGTGTGTGTGTGGTAAAGACAACAACGTATATATGTTGGGAGGAATTTTAATAAGGGAATGATAATTGGAGGGTAAATGACAAATCAAATATTGCGGATATGATACGTAAGATTTTTAACGTTAACAAGGGAAAAACAAGATGTAATAATGGAATTATGTGTACGGGTCACAATCAAGTACAAATTATGAGAGTGATAACTAAAATACAAAACGATAAGAGACAAAGAAGAGAAAGAGAGAGAGAGGCGTCTAAAATATTTGGACAGAAGCTGAAAACTGTCACTTCACACGTGGATTTATAAGATATGGTATGTTATGTGTCTCGTGATTTGTCAAATCACACATCTTCATCTTCATCCCATCCCCACTCATCTATTATCAGTTTGAATGTTTGGTGTGTCTTAACCATGGTATACCAAATATCACGTATCAAATTTCTATAACATGCTAAACAATTGAATATTGCCATCTAAATTATCTACATAGCTAATCGCAGATGAAATTGTGCTGTGCTTGTTTCTCTGTTATATACTCCTTCTGTTCATAATTATTTGATGTTTAAGGTTTTTGCACACAGTTTAAGGATTCATTTAATTTTTATTTTTCCTATACTAAAAATATTATTTATAATCCATTTAAATATCATTCAGCCTATAAGAAAACAATCTGCAGAATATAAAAGGTCAAAAACTATAAAAATTCATTAAATTTTGCATTGAAAAGTGAGAACATCAAATAATTCTGAAAAAAAAACCTTCTAAAACATTAAATAATTCTGAACAGAGGGAGTATGATTTAGTCATTCAGCTAACCTATACTCACATCCGTGGCTCTTTTGTCTCCAATTCCCAAATGAGACATGCATTGGCCTATAAAAGCCTCACAAATACAAAACCCAAGAAAAAATTAATTTCATAATAAATACTTTCTTTTGGGCAATTGAGTTTTATGGATGAATTATCATATGAGGTTTGAAATGAGACATGACCGTGATATAAAATTCTATGGTTGTCAAATTAACACAATGAGTGAAATCTATTCATGATCTCAATCAATAAGATATAAATGTACCATACCATTAATCTTTTTTTCTCATATAGTATTTCATAAATCTAAGCCGGCTTTAGTAAATGAAGAAATCCATAACTTGACAAAAATCTTACCCACTAACAGAGTATATGAAGAAATCCATACTTACCCACTAACAGAGGAGGTTTTTTATATTATGTTTTATTTTGTTGAACATTATATCATAAAATCAACAACTAATGGGCATGAAGACGTGTCAAATATTCAGAAGATTAAAATAGTGATACTATCAATAATAGAATAGGGCACATATTGGATGATGATGACTTCGCTTTCATCACATGTTACTGAGAATATTTTGTGTAAATAATGTTTCATCTTTGTATGGCACTATGGGTCCTTAGATAGTAAACATTTCCTCTCAATCTTTGAGATATATAAAATTATGAATATATTTATGCGAGCAAAACTGAAACAATACGATTAATTCTTTTATTTTGTTCCATTTCTTATCATCAACAACTGTTGAAATATAATACAATCGAGTCGAGCATATATTGAAGTACCAGCATGAATGCTTAGAAGGGTGCCTCGTGGAGGGGATTGTATACTTAGAAGGGTCTTCAGTCTTCACCTCTACATCGATGGAAAGTTTGGGAACTTGAGTGTGCTAGCTAAAGAAGAATATAAGAAATACTATAATTATTCGAGGAGCAACTCTGAAACGAACACTAATTTAAAAGCCACTAGCATTTCAATATTATATATATATTATCAAATATAAAACAGTTCCTGAGAACTATTTCTGCTTTTAGAAATTCACCTTTTAGTGTTTGCTTTGTTGAGGAAGGAAATAAACATGAGGATGGGGTTTTAGGGTCAACAAAAAACATAGATATTGAACCATTATAATTTAGATCCCCAATTTTAACTATTTTACTACATTTATATATGCGATATTAATGAGGTATATTGGCCTCTAATTTTCCTGAGTATATTATTTGTGTACTGTGATAGTCATCTGATGTTATATATCCCAATATTAATATAGATGCCAAATAACTCAAAATATTATGATATGTAGAAAAATATTTCCACTTTTTGGGTATGGTTTAAAAATACCAATGAGCATATTAATACAGCAAAATGGATCTTTAGGTATGCAAAGACATGCTTTATTGAGATAATGAGAAACATGTGTATATGTATGTCTTAGGTCGAAAGATGCTTCTAAAATATTTATTATCACATACTATTTTTACAACTTCTAACAAAAGTTAAAGGTGTTTTGTATCAAAGGTTGGACATGATGATAATGGAATCATGAGTAAATGTAAGGTACACAAATCAATTTTGTGACCATTCTAGTTATATAATTGCGCGAAGTGACATCAAATTCATTGACAATCTAAGTGAGATTCTTGCATGATGTGCGTGGTAAAAAATAGGGTGGATAAGATTCTTTCATCATTAACATTCAGAGTTCTAAGTTTTCAGTACTGCGGAAATTTCATTTATACGATATTGATACGATTTTTGTAAATAGGTTTTACTTAGATCTTAGTGTCGTATTTCTTAACTTAGGTAAGCTATGTTCACTCCCTAATTTTTATACTAAATGTATGTGTTATAAATGATTGAAGATGTGATCTTAGGTAGGGACTCACTGAGATTCCATAGGGTATAAGAAAGAGAAGATAAAAGGCGAATTAAACTTAGAACTAAGAGAGGGCAAGTGTTGCTAATCACTACTTCCGTAGCTCCCCCTTTGCTTTTTACTATTCTCTATGCTCTTTTTTCCATTGACCGATTTTTCTCTTCTCCTTGGGTGTATAAACTAATGCAACCATTTTTTGTTCTGATATATAAACTACTCCAATATTTCTTAGTGGATGAGAAAGGTTAACATGTGAGAGTGATCAAAAGTAATGAAAACTAGAACAGAAATATTTGATACTATCCAAAGGGGTGATTAATTAAAGAAACCCCCCAAATGCAACCATACTGATTAAGACTAAGTCCAAAAACATCTACAATCCTTCAATTCAAATGTATATATCAACCCACCTTTCTATATCATGTCCTTAAAAGTGTAACGCGTAAAGGTCACATGTAAGTACATCAAAACTCATCATGAAGTACTGAACATAATTAGTATTATCACTAATAAATTATGAAGAGGCCTAACTTTATCAGAAAAAGAAATATATCTTTTAAAGAAAAGAGGTGATAGGAAACTCATGAAATGGGGACTTTGGGTGAGGGAAAGAGAGAGACATGTGAAGTGTTCATAGGCAAATTGTGGACCAACAATGCACATGCTAGTACTCTTCTTTCATCAACTTTTTTTCTTAGTTTTGTGCCAAAGATAATGTTTTGGGTCTCTAATGTTTTACGATTATCTATTTGTTCATAACCATATATATATATATATATGTTTAATTTTGGGAAAAACTCATGTTTCTTTTTTTCTTTCTCCGATTATAATATACTTTTTTCCATATAATTATAGATCTTCGATCGACTATGCCGTATACATTTTTTTTATATATAATCTAATACTGATTGTCATCATCGAACAATAGTATTTGCCCACTCGATCTTGCTAAAAAGTAACTTATTTTTCCTTCTTCCTAAACTTCATTTTGTTTCATATACTCTTCATTCACTTTCATTCATGTTAATTTTGTAAACAACTACAAGCCAAATCAAAATACATCTACTAGCAAAGGGCTATCCTCCAAGTCTTCCAATTCAAAATACATCTACATGCAACACCACATTTCCAAACACGGTTGTATCTTAAAAATGATAAGTCGTACTGATACATCATATGTTTTGGAGACGAGGATGAAACAGTTGCGAACTCCTACAAGACACTTAGATTCCCATCCTCTTCCGCAAGAAGTGCAGTCTCATTTCGAAACGCTAATGAATCAAAGAGAAGAACAACTCAAACTCCTCTTCTCAAAGCATGCCAAAAGAAAAAGACCGCATAAGGGGTTAACAAGTCAAACTCCACTATATTCTCTATACTCTTTAACTTTACTGAAACTCTTTCTTCTTTGTTGGAATAGTAGTGTTTCAAATGATCCAACCAATAGAAAAGAGTATATGTAACCTGCAGACATATATAGGTTCACGTTCCTGACATT